GGAACCTTACATTGCCTCATGCGCAAATGGCCGCTTTTTTTATATCATAAAACTTTTTTATAGTAATGTTATACACAGCCATGATACTGCTGAATTCGCATCATTATTACGTTTATCATTACACATACGATATCAGATTTATCTTTACAATTTCTTACCCAGGTGCAGACTGGCACGGTTTATCAGTGCCATTATCTACAGATTAACACTTCTATGAATACTTGGAAGTCATTGATGATCTTTTCTGTTCTTCGGAAATCCCCTCGGATACCACCTGTCGGTGGCATGTCGGACTCGAACCGACTAAAACCGCACGCCGTCGCCGGGTACTAATAGCCGGGGAACCAGGTATACCCTAGAACACCCCGGCCTGCTTCTGCTAGGGTGACAGATGGCCTCACCTGTCACCCCCAGGCCTGCGCTTATGGAGGACGGAGGTCGTTCTGCGACCTCCGGCGCCTGAGTCGCCTGCGTTGCCTGGCCCGTGCCCGGGCCTGGCGGGCCGGGAGAGTTCTAAAGCTCTCCCGGTCCCGCTCCGCCGTCTCCTTCGCGAGCATAACTTGCTCGCAGAAGGAGACGGCAGAGTTCCACGCACTCTCGCTCCGCACGATAGCCGCAATCAGGCTATCGAGCGAGAGAACTCCCACTCCGATGGCCGCCACGAGGTCTCGCCTCTGCTCAACCCACGCCGGGCAATCTGCCAGCGTGTGGAGAGCCGTGTCCACGGTCTGGCCATCGCAGTGGTGGCACTCAACGCCTGAGTACCCTAACCTACGTAGGAAAAAATCGAATGATAAATCACAGTTCACTGTGATTTTGTCCCATGTTTATCTAGAACCTACGATACAAGTGTTAAAACTCAAATTTTGAGAGGCTTTTAGACAGGCAGAAAATTCCAATGCTTTTCGACTCACAATTATGGTCTGAATACACTATTTCAGTATTCGTTACACCGTCCGTCAGGATGCAAGATCCTGCATAAAATATTGGCCTATAATCTTTGATCAATTTTATTTATTTTATTTTGTTTAATTCTTTTTGCACAAACAACAATTCATTGTACAATGGCGGACTTAATGCCACAGGCATTTTCTCCCAGTCTACCTTGGGGTAGGTGGTGGGGAAATGTCTGAGTAGGTGCACTAGGAATTAAGTTTTATATGTAAAGAGATAATAATAATTAAGGATTTGGACAGAACCAGTGTGACAGATATACATACATACTGGGATATACATATATACTTACTGAGTTACATACATACATATAATACAACATATAAAACTTAAGAAATACTTTGTATGTTTTTTATGTGTACTTATTTACTTGAAAATAAATAATTTTGCCAGAATTCTTTCAATCTTTTTTAACATAAAATCATAAAATATACTTAGTTTTTAAAATGGTTTAATAGGCTTAAAAATGGAATTCAGTATGTATGCTAGTATAATATATATTAACATAATAGAGCTACAGTCTACAGAAATTACGCTGTGGTAGAGCTGAAGAGTTTTTATTTGTTATGTTGTTTGAACGCCATAATCTCTAGAACTATAAATCAGAATTCCATAGAGTACTTTGAGGAATAGTATCACTTATAATTGTTTTAAAACATTACGCTTCACGTCTTAGCAGTGGAGCAGTGATTATAAACACACGTAAAACTACGGAGAACGGTATAAGTAATAATACAGTTAACAAAATTTGTTAATTCGTTGCTGAGAAATTGATGAACATATGTCATTGCAATTCTAGCAATTAAACCTGTATTTAACAAAAACCTATTTTCTTTTGTTGACGGCAAATAGATAAATAGTTAGATACACAGGAAAACTAAATTTATTCAATATAAAAGCAACTGTTTTAGTTTTTGCCCACATCAAAATAACTCTTCGTCGGAAAAATCTGGCTGAAACAAACTAGTCCTTCCCTTTAGTCAAAGTATTTTTATTTCATTTTATTTAATTATTGAATCGCCTATATATCCCCAGTATTAGGTACAACCAGTAGCATAAAAGGTACGACGGCGCAAAAAATCTAACAAACTAACATTGATATGTATGCATTTAAGATTATTTAATAAAATTACTTTTTCATTTTTTCCAATTAAATATATTTAAAACTAAAAAATATTACATTTTTTGTGAAACAATTTTCACATTTAAGTAATAATGTTGTATGGTGAAAGAATGGAACATCATACCTAATATTTAATGACTTGGTACATCTATTTGCATTGCTTCAGGTGTCTTTGTGTATTTATAATATAATCTAGGTATTTTATAAACCTATTTTATGAAATCAAGTACATACTTATAATGAAGAACAGTATGATACCTATTAATTACCTCCTTATAATTTATGGAATAGGTAGACTTTGATAGGAAATCAACATATCATCTGACTACCCTTATCAGAGTTTTATTTGGGGTCAGCGCAGTATGTGCATTCGGCGCATATTCGATCATTCGCCATTTCACTGTTTACTCCTTTCCTAGCCATATCCTTACTTACAAAGTCTATCTGCCTTTTCTTTGGTCTTAGTCTTCTCTTGTACTTCAAAGGTATGAAAGCGTTTACTTATTATTGGATTTAAATGTTGCTAGAATATTTGACAATAATACTGGACACGGGACAAAACGCAAAATCCCAGATTTTCCGACCATCTGGTAAGCCTAGATCCACAGTATAAACTGTGCTTAGTTTGGTTCTAGGTAACGCTATCTAATACGCCCCCGGATATATTTCGGTTTAAAGATTTTTTTTTATTTAAGAGATATATTTATTTTTCTCGGAGCTGGATGCGAGAAGACCAAAATCGATTTAAGTGGCGTGCAATGGGAGAGGCCTATGTCCAGCAGTGTACTGCGATAGGCTGATGATGATGATATATTTAATCATTTTTTTCGTTTTCAATTTTATTGGTGCCAGTTCTCTAATGAATTATCAAATATTAAGCCTGTTCTTAAATTTTTAATCGGCTGTTTTGACTAATAAAATCAATATGTATTTACCAACTTTTAAACTATTGCGTTTAATAATTTGTAATTATATACATACGCGAGGATTAACGCATTACGTAAAAGGTATTTTATACCTACTTTTGAATTGCCTGATATTTCGACCAGGATTCCTAGCAAGTCTGTGACCACGGCCAGTTCAAGCTAGTCGAAATATCAGGCAATATATGTAAATAATTATAATTAGTATTTGTTCATTAAGTAAGACAAGGCTTTTAAAGGGTTATAAAAAAAATCCAAGATTAATTTGTAATTTAAACGATGACTTTTAATACACTTCCTCCTATATTACATTCGTTTTGTACAAAAACAACGTATTTTCTTTAAGTATACAACGTATTTCCTGCTTTAATTCGATCTCGTGCGATATCAATATTACGCTAAAATAATTAAAAACTAATGATAATATCAAAAATTACGTATAAACGAGATCTTAATACATTGGGAGACCAAACTTAACAAATTGCGAATACATTCAATACGTTTAAGACATGGAATTAATTTTGCCTCAAAGTGGTTAATATATTAAATACAAACAATAAAGACTATATAAATACACAGTACATTTTAGTTTCTTTTTAATTAGCGACCCGCCCCCTCTTCGTCCGGGTATTATACATATAAACCTTCCTCTTGAATTATTCTCTCTATTGATGAAAACTGCATTATTTTGAACGATCTACCCGTACAAGAACGGATAGCAACTTCATTTCATACAATGTAAAGATTCTGAATATTTTAAAGCAAAACAAAGGTATTTATGCCACTCAACTGTCATCAAGTTAGCTTTGAAAAATAATAACTTGCATTCTAAATAAGCCGTTATTTATAAAAATATATTTCAAAATGATTTTGGAAGCACGTGTTCTTCTTTTATGTATATTGCCATTTGCAAAAATATTTGTTCTAGAAAATTCTTTTCTTAATTAGTTGTTTATTAGTTCCTAGTTATACTCTTTTAGGTACGCAACTCGTCTAAATGATTAACGATTTTAATTCATCGCTGTTAACTGACACATGTCAGAGATGTCATCTTAGTACCTATTTAAACATAAATAGATATTAATAATAGTTCAATGTTGATCGTCATATTTAATCGTTTTAAAAAAGATAAGTTACTTCTAAATGAAAATAAGGATATTTTTCTTGAATAAAAATAAGGATATTTTTAAAAGATTAAACGATTCGGTTTAAGGAAGTTGTAATTCGATTTATTTTTATTGTTGATTCACGTTAGCAATTAAGTATAAAACAATGCTTAAGTTTTATTAACGTCCGCCATTAAGAATTCAATCAAGTGAAGCAAAAAATTGAAATGAAATCTTGAACGTTTTAAATGAGTACAGGTTCGTTACATACCTTGTTCATACATAGTTTGAACGCATACCTACAACAAATTCCTATTATTTTCATCTCCCAAATCATTCTATCATCACAATATTAATTATAAAAACCTAACTGTTAACAATTTGGATAGTTCACTAAGGTTTCGCACAAGATCGAATCAAAAACATTGATAATTTGAATAATGGCTAAATGTCTACCTAACTAATGGAGCAAATTATTTTGGTGAACCAGACCTTTTTAAAAGTGCGATAGAAGACGCATTGGCTGAGTCACGCTCAATAACAAATTATAATACAGACAATATAAAAGAAACGGAACATTCAAAAAGGTCTGACTCAACATTGCGACTAGGTATTGGGGCAACTTTCTTTAAACTTAACCACAAAAGTTGTTTTAACCGACGCAAAATGAACTCAACGGATACATAACAAATAACTCAACTGACTCCAAAACAGAATACAAAAGAAAGCAACCCCTATATCCTAAATAATAATTCGATTGTTTAATATCTTAAAATTGGTTAATTCCTTTATTCACTGTCCAGAGTATACCTACAACCTTGGCGCTCCTTCACTTCAACATGGCCGTCGCACTCACACACGCAAACGTACAGACACAAACTAGTGTGTGTGTGGTCACCGCACATGCCACAGTCCGAGGTTAAGTACACTAAGTCGCGGCAACTTCACGATGTGATCCAAACCTTGTGGAGTAATACACGTGCAGCCGTACAAGTCTATAGCTTTTAGATTACGGAGGCCATCGCCTAAGGCGCGGAGGCCTCTGTCTGTGACCATAATGCACTGTCCAATATTTAGCGTTTCTAGCTGTGATAACCTGGCGACCCGCTCCAGGCCTTCGTCCGTCAGGCGGCAAGCGCTGAGAGACAGCGAGCGTAGGCCGGACAGGCCTAGCGTTGCGTGGGATAGAGCTTCATCGCCCACCTTGTCGCAAAACGACACGTCCAAGGCTCTAAGTCTACCGCTCTCTGCTAGGTGTGCCACTCCCGTGTCCGATACTCCATCGCAAGCTCTTAGATTGATATCCTCTAAATGAGGAAGTCGCGCTAGATGTCTCAGTCCGGCGTCCGTCACAGCCACGCAGAATGAAAGATTTATGGATTTTAATTTAGGAAGACCTGTAGCTGCGTGTTTCAACGCGTCATCCGTTAACCTTTGGCAGTCTTGTAGTCCCAAGTGCTCCAGTTCTGGAGTTCCTCTCGCTTCACCACCACCGCAAAGATGAGCTATGCCTGCATCGTTCACGTGCCAACAAGATCTCAAGTTTAAACGTCGCAGTTTCTTGAGTCCCCAAGCTATAAGTAACAGCCCGGTGTCTGTGATGTTGCAACAGCCGCCAAGCTCCAACTCTTCCAAGTTTTTAAGCGATTGCGCTATTCGACCTAGCGACGAGTCGGTCACTTGTTTGCATAATGATAGATCTAATCTCTTTAAGGCTGGTAATTCTGCGGCAAATGCGCTTGCTAGAGCCGCATCCGTTACGCTATAGCAACCGCTTAAAGATAATGACTCGAGCCCCGGTAGAGCAGCGACTGCGTCCCTTAGACCTCTCCGGAGTGACAAAACTTGTAGCTTCCTTACTCCTCTCCTCGCTAGCGATGCGAAAAGTACCGGCGCGGGTCTTCTAAGATGTAGAGCGGCTTCGACTCCGCGCCACACGGATCGCCGATCAGCTGCATCCCGCCAAGAGCGGCAAACTTGAGCCGCACGGCCTCTATCTCTTACCGGCAGTCTCTCGAATATCAGCGCTAACAATTCCGGATATAATCTTGAGATGTGTGTTCCCTGTGGCTCGGGGAGTTCGGGCACGTGAGGCACCGGTAAATGCGGCCGATGTAGTCTGTAAGGCGCACTGCGTTGTTTTCTCCTATTTGTACTTGGCTCCCTCAGTTCGGTGAGGCCGAGCCGCTCCTCCCGCCAGGACATCACTTCCTCCGTCCACGCACTCATAGCGGCGACACTGCACACTATAACATGTCACGATGCATCGGACCGGTTTTCGGTGAAACTCGTATAGTGTCGAGCGAACGCAGCGAACACCCTTCCCGCGCGACTACTTCTCGTGTACTGACGATCAGCGGAGAGTGTGTGGGGCCCCCGCCCGCTCTCCGCGACCGCCCGAGCGCGGCTATTGGTCGCGGTCGGCGGCACGTGACGCGCGTCGTATCGATTCGGAGGCTCTGCGGCGGCATTTTTAAGTTGGCGGGCCGAGAGCCCGCCTTCGTCCCGCGCTGCCCTCGACACCCGCGAGATATACTAAACAATGCGCAGATAGTTCAAAATATAACTGTGAATACAATGAGTACCTCTCTATCAATCCAGGGATTGAGGTCTAAAAATCGACCTCTATTAATTGACACAAGTTTTTTTTAACTTTCATGATACTGGTGCTAATTCTGTTATTTGAAAACTGTTTAAATTAAAAGTTCGTTTAGTCAACTTAACTTGTAGACTTAACTATATTTAGTTAGACACAACCAAAATTAGTCAAGTTACTTAATTTAGTCTATAATTGGTCATTTGATATTCTGTTGTACGTTCTAATCGTCAACGATTGACAAAAATTAGAAGTGTTAGACGAGAATTAGACGTTATATTATATATTTCATCTTGAATCACAATTATATTATTGTAATGTATCTTATCTGGATTATTAAGACCACTCGTCACATTGAACCTATTTTTTAGGTTTCAAATACATTGCATTTTTTTTTCTCAATTTAACAAAAAAAAATTAACAAAAAATGTCAGGGCATACGAAGCGAGCAATCAATCTATGCATTTTTATGGAACTCTATAGTGACAAATCAATACTTACATCTTACATAAAATTTAATTTTAGGTGTTACTGACGGCTTCTAGTGAAAATTATAAAAGTACATATTAATATGTTTCCAACTGGACTATTGCTACTTACGCCATCTGTTAGAAAAGTAAAGAATTAGTATCGATGTAATCAGTGTTTAGTAACGAAAAACGTTTACCGCGAGTTGCCAGGTATGCGAACTTAATAAAACTGTATTTATTTAGCTATAACTGCAAAATACATCATTTTGTTTACTACCTATTTGATCTATGCATTACTAATCATTTACAGGAATTTTAAAATCCTGAAAATATCGTTTCACAAGATTTTATTAATTCGCTCTTTATCATTCATTCTTAATTTTAAACAACGGAAACACTTTTCTTTTTAACTTTTAGTGATGTCAAATTCAAATGTATGCTGTGTTCGACTTAACAACAGAACAGAACATTTTGGAAATCGCCTCACTAAAACAAGAGAATTTTAGGTTAGTTTTGTCAACAACATAATTAGCACCAGTATATATTTTTTGTGTTTTGATGTATTTTTTTAAATAATAACCTACAAGTATTTTAATGTTATTCTATTAATAAACCTGTTTTAATCATTTTCTTGTACTTGAATGGGGTGATCCCATTTAAATTGAAGAATACAGATTATTATAGTTTCACAAAAAAATTGGTGAATTGAAGATGATTGTCCATTACACATTTAGTTAGAGAGGGAGAGAGAACGCTTAAGTTATCAAACATGCTTAGTATCGCCTGTAAAAATATATCAACAACATTTTCATATTTTATAAAATGGTTTATTACTACATTATCTATATGTTACAAAAAAAGTGCAACAAGCATTCTAATTAGTTTTTCCTCACAGAAGTCCTAAGATTTAGGCAGAAAGTGGCATACAACCGATAATAAATTCTTTGACTTCAGTGATAAGGCGGCAAAACAACTCGACGCGACGTATATTTTCGTTCGCGCTGCACTTGCCGACGACTTACGGCCACTTAACGTAGAGCCCTGTCAACTGCCGCGACGTTCTCTGCGAATAGAGACACAAGAAACATGATTTCTTGTGACATGGGTCAAATAAAACTGGCTCTTTGATAACACCAGCCAACTATTACAAGGGCGACCGGTTGCGAGCGTTCCAAATATGAATTTCGAATTGAAACGTGTTCCAGAATGGAACGCGAGCGAGTTGGCGAGCGCGGGACCGTTTAGTAAATTAACGGGTCGGCCCAACATTGGTAGGTAGGTCCTGGATTGAAATTAGGAATGGATGCTTTAAAACTTTCTTTTGCACTATGCAGTCTGTATAACCAAATATAAAAAATTAGATTATTATACATATAACTTTTCTATCTCTCTCTGTCTATAAAATAAATATATTCTAACAAGTTCTAACTACGGCTCGCTAAGTAAGTCCATTTATCGTAAAGTCGGGCGTGAGAAAAGTTTCTCAGTTGCGCCATACTTTTTTTAGTAAATCGTCACTATAAGTCAAGTGTTAGCGTCGCTAAGTTTAGTCCAATTCTTGGTATTAAGGAAGATTTGGTTTTTAATACTTTAGTATCAAAAATCAAATCTTCCTTAATACCAAGAATTGGACTAATTTAATGATCACCTTCATCATTTTAATGATCACGTTAGAAAAAAATACTCATGATTCTTTTTTCTCTTTCCTTTTTCTTAAAAATAATGAGAGCTCTTTAGCAGTTGGTGATTTTCTACATGTTTTTCGGTGAGTGACGTAGTTTTGACACAGCCCTGTATTCTTGATCACTTCATTTCAGCGTCTCTTTAGAGATCCCATCCCTTTCTCCAAATTTAAATACCACTAAAATTCAACACAAACAGTTGTGGAGGAATGGGTGTCATGACCCTCCAACACAAAGGGAGGATCCTACGACCAGGCGAGACTACGATCAAGCCTGGTGGGCCGCGGCCCAACGGTTGATTTTGGGAAGCTGTACCTATATATGCTAATCAGTGAGAGAATTTTTCATATCGCGGTACAGGATTAGCAATTCTCATTCAGGAGTTACTCCGTAGTTCGGTGTGTCTTCGTTAGATGGCGCTGTAGTATGTTTCTTTGTATGTGGGAGTCGCCAGAAACATTTCCTTTCTTTTTTCTTTCAAATAATTTGTAAATTACAGGTCAGTGTTTTTGAAATATTTTTTATGGTATCCATATCAGGTCGCCGATTGTACAGCTATTTAATATTTTACCTTCTTTGCTTCATTTATATAACTTTAGATTACAAGACTTACTCCAATGTATACATATTGTATTATTATATTGTACAATTAACATTTATCTACCCCGAAAGTGACTACCGCCGCCCATGAACACCTGCATCTCAAGAGTCACAAATTAGCTGCCCCTCTTGAGTTCCGCCGCCTAGAATCAGGGGGGGGGGGGGCTCCGGTAACCTCACTCACTCGGTGGACAGCAACGAAAGAACTGCTTGACACCAGTTTTGTGTGAGGCCATGATATTACTCCGGTCGAGCCTCGTATCGTAATATGGCTTTGAAATGGTTAAAACAAAATTTAATTTTTTTTCATTTATTTTTTAAGAGTGAGTGGGCAGACGAGCAGACGGGTTGCCTGATGAAAAGTGACAACCGCCGCCCTTGAACGTCTGCAACTCAGGAGTAACAAACGCGTTGCCGGCCTTTTAGGAAGGAGCTTTTTGGGCTCTTTTCTTGAAGGTCGCATCGGTCCGGAAATACCACAGATGATAACCCATTCCACAGATTGCTTGTGCGGGGCAAAAACTGTCTCAAAAAGCGCCCAGTAGTGGAGCGCCAACTATCCAGGTGTATCTTTCTATTTATCCTGGCTGTTATCAATCTTAGTGACAACTTATTCCATCCAAAGACAACTCTTGCTTGCTCTACAAATCTCAGCGTCACGGTTGATAATTATTTATTTATTTATTTGGATTGTTAGGGTCAGTTTACAATCAATGGGGTCAATAGATACTCAAACTACAACTTTGGTACATTACTAGCTGACCCCAATAAATGGTGATAAAATTGGAAGGCCACAGAAGAAAAGAAAAAAAGTAAATTTGTATCTATGTTAAGTATTTATGTTTATATAGCGCCTTGGTCGTTCGGTGAGATGTGATGCGGTTATCGACGCTCATAAAGACTTACCATTACGCACTTTCATATATATTATATAGGCATATAAGCACTTTGAGTGTTACATCGATTTCTCTATGGATAGCTCAAAAATAACAAAATTCGGCGTGACAAGACAAAATTAGCAGAATTTGTAGTGTTTATTATAAATCCTAGTGTAAATCTTCTTATATATAAAATTCTCGTGTCACAATGTTCGTTCCCGTACTCCTTCGAAACGGCTTGACCGATTCTCATGAAATTTTGTGTGCACATCGGGTAGGTCTGAGAATCGGCCAACATCTATTTTTGATACCCCTAAATGGTAAGGGTGACTTTTCCCTAATTTTTTTTTGTTTTGCAATACAACGTTTGCCGGGTCAGCTAGTAATAAATAAATATTCTACCACATTCACACAACGCCATCTAGTCCTAAACTAATTACACATACATATTATACATAGAAACACCCAGACTAAATCAAACATTAAATGTTCATGCACACAAATGTTTGACTTGAGCGGGAATCAAACCCGCTACCTTTAGAATAGCAGTCCGTTACACAAACCACTACGAAATCCGGCTGCAAAGTGTAGGACGTCCTGCGGCACGATGGACTGACGACATGAGGAAAATGACGAGCAGAGGATTGAAGCGTACTTCCCAGATGTTTGACGCTCTTTGGGGGAGGCCTTCGTACAGCAGTAGCCGGCAATAGGCTGAAGAAGAATCTTTTCTTTTCTCTCTCTCTCTTGAGAATCTTAATCCTGTCTTTCTATCGTGTTTTATCCCCATGGGTTAGCAAACCGTAAAGCCACACTGCGGTCGATGTTCTATCACATATGGGTTTATTGTATAGACTCAGTATTCCCGCAGGACAAAAAAATGGCGATCCTGATATACCTGACATCGATGAGTGAGGTTTGAACCGTCACCACTTTCGTCCCAATGATCCGATCCGCGTTCACGTTACGCCAAGAGAAACTTATCCTGATATACCTAGGTGAA